ATGGTAACATTTTTTTAAAATATATTTTATTGATTTTTTGCAAAGAGGAAAGGAAAGAGATAGAGAGTCAGAAACATCGATGAGAGAGAAACATCGATCAGCTGCCTTCTGCACACCCCCTACTGGGGATGTGCCTGCAACCAAGGTACATGCCCTTGACCGGAATAGAACCTGGGACCTTTCAGTCTGCAGGCCGACGCTCTATCCACTGAGCCAAACCAGTCAGGGCAAATGGTAATATTTTCAATGAGCATCTCCATATCTTGCCAATCCACAAATAAATTATATATGGTAAAAAATGTGAATGGATATGAAATAATGGATCAGTCCATTGAATAACTGTAAAGTATTCCAAGTAGGTGAATGAAGAACTTTCTAAAACTTTCTGAATGTGATGGCAGCACAATACCTAGCCATTTCCATGAAGTCTTTAGCTCAGTTGAACAGGATACTTTTTTTTAAATTTTGTTTTATTGCTTAAAGTATTACAAAGAGTATTACATATGTCTTCCCCCCACCCCCCCCTTGACATTCCCCCAGCCTCCCCTACCCCCCTAGTGTCTTATGTCCATTGGTTATGCTTATATGCATGCATACAAGTCCCGCCCCTCCCGCCCCCCAACCCTCCCCAGCCTTCCCACTGTAGTTTGACAGTCTGTATGATGCTGCTCTGCCTCTGTATCTATTTTTGTTTATCAGCTATAATGGTCTTTATTATCCATAAATGAATGAGATCATGTGGTATTTTTCTTTCATTGACTGGCTCATTTCACTTAGCATAATGCTGTGGTACATCTACACAATGGAATACTATGCTGCTGTAAAAAAGAAGGAATTCTTACCGTTTGCAGCAGCATGGATGGAACTGAACAGGATACTTTAAATGTGGATTCAGAATTTAATTCACTCCCCCCTCCCATTGAACCAGATGCCTAGAAGCCCTCCTTACTTTCAAAGCCCTTGGTTTTACCACTGCAGGGAGAATTTTTATGGACATACTAGTAGCTACACCAAAAACCCACCAGGAGCTTTGAGAGCTGGCCTTTGGTTCCCAACATTACATGTGACTGCCTGTCTAACATCCCACCTTCCCTCGCACATGCCCTGTGCTCTCACACACCCACTCCTCTCCTCCCTTGCTATTATCCCGACCATGGCTCCCATCAAAAACTGCATTTTCCTGCCTCCAAGTCTGGCCTAACAGATCAGCCCTGTGAAACACTCAGACTGCTTCTCAAGTACCCACAGTCAGAATCCATGGAATCGCTAATATATACTGAAAAAAATCCACTTTGCCCTCCATATTTACTCCCCTTCTAATTTAGCCTACATATGTAAGCTGAAAACTGGATATTTTCTGACAATAATAGCTTATGATTTCACTTTTTCTCCCTTCCTTTGTCTCAGTAGAGGAGAGGGGTCAGCTGAATCACTGCTGCCCAAACTTTCTTATGTCTGCACCACTTGTGGACCATTTTCACTCCATTTCTTTTTCCTTTTATTTCCACCATCATTTATTCTATCGCTGACTGATGTCCATGACTTATTCACAGATTTTTGAATGACTTCTGGGTCTGGCTTCTATTCCCATCGTCCATCATACGTTATTTCCATCCTTGAAGACATTATCATCCATCTCTATACTCATCTTACACCAGCACTTCACAGTTCCTCATCTTCTCTGTCTAATTCAAATCCACCCTCCTCACATCCCTACCACTTGTAAGATCAAGAATATATCTTCATATTTTTGAGAGATATGAATATATAGATAATGATAAATAAGCAATGCATATAATAAGAGAAAAAGGATCATTCAGAGGATGCTCTGGGAACACAAATGAAAGTCATAAAAGCCCTACTGTAAGTAAATAAATGAGTATCAGAGATCTAATAATGACGGTGGGGTTTGGCTCCAGTTATAAAGGATAAATAGGGACTGGCCGCCAGACAAGCAACAGTTGTATAATCTTCCAAACCCAAACTGTTGTGATTGCCTTAGATTGTCTCACTTTGCTAACAAACTATTTCCCAAAGCCAAGCCCAACAATCCATTCTCCTGAAAAAGTAAGGACTTTATAGATTTCAAATAGAGCTTCAAAAATTATTTTTATAAAAATTAAGTCTGATCCCCTTTAATTCGTTCACTTTAGCCACATTGCTCATAGGAGAATGTCCATGTTTTCCTGTAATACTCTTCACAATTTGGCCATTAGCTACATCTGTAATCTCTTCTCTCGTCACTCTTCACCCATCTGTACCCCCAAGCTCGTTTGTCATTCTCTGCTCCTTGCCTTTCATATGCTAGTTTTTCTGCCCCCATTCATCTTTTTCCCATCATGCCTAGCCACCCTGGAAAATTCCTACATACCCTTCAATGCTAAATGGCTTAGATAACATGCTTCTGAGTGAATCTTACCTGATTCCACCTTGATCACCTCCTCCTCTCTGATGGTCCTTGAAAATAACTCGTATCATCACACTAAGCATGTATTCTTGCTAGATTTGCTTACTGCAGATTTTCCATATGAACTCATTAAGGAGAGGAACCTCCTTTGTAACTCTAGAAGAATTCTCAAGGTAAACAAATTTGGGTTTTTGAATGGCCGTTAGAAATGTCCCTGTAACAGATCTTAGTCTTCTAACTCTTTTCCTGCATAGGGTCTCCTTTTAAGTATGGAGGTGGGACTAGAATCCAGTTCTCCTGGGTGCATTCTCTAGGTCTCTTCCCCTTGTGTTCCTTGCATTTGTTAGTTCTCCTAATTGTTATTCATTCCACCATTTGTGGAGTCTTGCTGGCTATCACTCTTTTAGAGTTTCATTTTGGAACTCAGGTTTGCATGAATTTTGCCTTTGGGGTGTAGTTTCCCACAGTGAGTAACATGCCACAGTCAGGGATGAACAGAAAGATGACATGCTCCCTCCTTCCCAGTGCCTGTCTCACAGATTTGTTCCGCAGTGCTCACAGACAGTACCAACTGCTCTTCCTGTTGACTGCCAAAAGAAGTCAATAGTCGGGAAGCAGAAAAAAGACTGTGAGTTATGGAAAATAACTAAGGAGAGAGAATGGCAATACAATGGGGGAAAGAAGTAACAACTCTGTAGCCACCCACCTAGGCAAATGTCTCAAATTTCAACCAACTAAAAAAACAAAAAACTAAATGAAGAAGAACATCTAGTCAGCCAGAGGCCTCTGAAACAGAACAGTAGTTGAGAGCATTCTCTGTTGATCTAACTAACTACCCTGGCTACCACAGTATAAGATTCCGGTCCCAATTCCGTGTAAATGGGTGTTTCATTAAGACAACATGGCTAAGGGGAGAGTTAGAAGGAAAGATGGGAAGTAACAAAATATGTTTGAAGTAAACTCCGTTTCCATATGAAAAGGTTCATAAACTGCCTCTGGCCACGTACTCTGAAGACAAGTCTGACCTATAAACCTTTCCAGTACCTAATGATGTGTATATACATGCAAGCCTTGGGTGTCACTGTGATGTATGACACAGGCTGTGCGGTGTTATCATTTAATGTCCTCAGGTCATGCTTGGGAGCACACATGTTAGTCTTCCTCTTATTTTAACAGTGTTTGTCTCAAGTGCTGAGAATATGATTATGAACATATTACCAGGTTTGCCTATGCAGTATTTCCTCTTTATCTAACAGAGCATCACCTCCGAGCTTCCACAACACTTTGTGTCAGTATTTACCAGGCTTTTCTGCAATTATTTTTGCCTGCTTCCTCTGAGAGACTGTGAACACTTACATTGTAAAGGGCATTCAGTTCCATGAATTCTTAGAAAACGAGCACAACATACAGGAAAATTATTTTTTTAAATGCTCGGCATGGCTTATTGTTGTGTGTTTTTAAGAATTCTCTTTGGTAGCTGCTTTCATCAATAGCAGCATGATTGGACTAGCTCGCATACCACTAACCTTTTTTATGGAAACGAATTTGGGGACGTGATGAAATTTTAAAATTCTAGAGAATAAAGCTCAATGTGTACTTCTGCTTATGCAGATGACTAGAAAATTATTGCTCACGTGACTTTGTTGAGTCTTTTTACTTTGATGTTGCAGTTCTATAATTGCAGCTATATACATTGATCTATAATAATAAAAGCATAATATGCTAATTAGACCAGACAGCCTTCCAGATGACCTTCGGATGAAGCCAGGGCTGTGAGGGAAGCCCGGGTCCCTGGTGCCAGAGGGAAGCCTGGGTTCCAGGTGCCAGAGGGAAGCCAGTGCCGGCAGCCAGGGGAAGGAAGGCCTACTCTTGCATGAATTTTGTGCATCGGGCCTCTAGTTTATAATAATGTACAGTTTAGTAGAAAAATTAATTGACATGAGACAATTTTGTGTGACCTCTGTATGTTTTGTTTGGGTCGTTTTGCTTGGTTGTTTTCCTTTTTTGTAAACTTAACCACCCTGCCCTGGGTTGAGAAAAGAAAAGGATCACAAAGGAAAGTTAGAGGTCTGGCTCTGCCAGTGTGAAAATTCATACGTGGGGCTGGCTGTATCTTCTGATAAAGAGGACTGGATAAAAGGTGCAGAGAGTAGCCAGAGAACACATATGCGTAGCCCATGAGCAGACAACAGAGTAGTGAAGCTAGGGGAGTGGTGGTGGGGGGCTGAGTGGAGGTGGACAAAGGTAGGGGAGGTGGGGGACATCTGTAATAGTGTCAACAATAAAAAAAGAGTCAAAGCCAGTCAGTATTTTGCACTACATGATGCAACTGCCACAACTGTAGTGTGTAGGCATTTGCAAACATTGGTGACAATGTGTACACACAATAAAGAGACTTATTAGAACAAAATTTGGGTGATTGGGATTAGGTGTTAGTAGTGTTAAAAAATAATAAGGGAGATGTACTGGAATCAAATTTGTTCGCTTTGTTTATTCTAATTGTCTTCTGGAAAAATCTCTTGCCTGCTGGTTTTCTCATCATCATTTTGGCATATCCGGGCTATTAAATGTTTCCTTGCTGTTTATATTTTAGATGGGAGTCCGAAAAGTGTTTCTAAAATACTGCCATGCCAACCAGCTCAATGATTTGTGCCTACAGCTGCAGAGAAAAATTATCATCTGTCAAAAAGGTAACAGTGCACACTAACATATATGAACTTTTGTGAGTTGTGGAATAGAAGTCTAAATATCAGTGGGATCTACATTGGAGTGAACTGCTCCATCCACTCTATGCTGCTACTTACGGACACTTTTCGGGGGTTTAGGCAGCACTGTGGCTTAGTTTGCTCTTTACCTGTGTGTGAATCAGTGTATGCAGACACTACACGGCTCATGCTTTATGTGGTAGTCATTTCATCTGATATTTTGTAGCAGATTTTTATCTAAACCACAGTTTGGAAGAAGAGCTATGCCTACCCTAGGCTTTATGCATCCTCTACCTTGCAAATATTTGTGCTTATTGATCCTGACAAGAAGCGTGTACCTTTGAACCCACAGTGGTACTTAGATCCAGCTAAGAAGCCAGATTCCCAGCCAGTTCAGTCAGTCAATTGGCTACATCATATTTTATGTGATTCTGCATATGCATGGGAAAATCCTGGACTTTATTTTTCCTTTGTGAAGCAGTGATGATATCTGGAGCATTATATTTGATAGCAGATAACATTTTTTGTCATTTTAACTTTGAAATAGTTCTTTAGAATTTCTTTTCCTATCAAAATCCAAGCGACCATCAAAAATGGCTACATATTAAAAATCATAACTATGCCTCACATAAAACATATATCTTTAATACATTTTTAATTTTCTCAATAATTTAATTATGCATTATAAATACAATTATCAAAGAAAGGGAAAACGGAAAAAATTAATCCATGTGTTACTGTTTGGTGGAAATGTAATGAGCTCTCTAGTATATTTGAAGCTGTTCAAAGCTAGCAAAGACATTTCACAGGATGCAGAAATCAGTTTCATTCTGTTCAGGGCTCTATCCGTTTGAAACCCCTGGTTTCATCCAGGCACGCCCCTCATTAAATCTCCAATGTCTTATCATTTTCTGATGATAAAAAGTACTGCTACATTCTGGTTCCTCAAACCGTCTCATTCAGAATAAACAAGTTCCATCCAAATAACGCTTACAATTCAGCACTTCATTCTAAGTAAAAACATTCATCTTGGACCTCTTGGACCCCACAGGTGGGCAGTGGGCACTCCCTCCTGCCTACTTAGGCTCATGCGCACCTGTGACCCTCCAAATCTGACGAAGGGGAGGGAGAGAGTGTGGGGACAGAGCAGCTCTTCTGTCTGACCATCTGCAGTGTGACCTGGCCCGGGGTTCCTCTGGTGGGGTGATCAGGTGTTCAATGGCGATTTGGATATGTGGGCACATTTCAGCACTTATCTGCACTACCCACCTGAGGACTGGCAAGACCTCTCCTTTGGACAGTCACTTATAATCCCCCCTCAGCTCCCGGGTACCCCATGGACATTATCCGCCCAGGCCTCTATGCTGTCTAAGAAGTCTCTTTAAATGACTGCAAGCAGACATTTCTGTCTTGCAAACCATGTCTGGTGCTGGAGAACCACACCCTGGGTCCTGACAGGTGTAGCTTCTCCCCGCAGAGCTACCCTGCATTCAGGGCCTGGCAGCAGCCACTGATGCAGCATCCGTCTTCTCAGGGGTCATGCGCCGCCATGTCCTCCAAACTCCAGAGTCATATAGCAAGTTCTCGGGGTGGTCCTCAGAAGCCACGTTCACCAGCCTGGAGGGCGGAGGCAGTGGGGGAGGCCTGGGTTAGGGAAAGGACCCACCCTCAACTCTTGGCAACTGTGGCTTCTCTGTGGGTGATGATCAGCTGGCCTCTTTAATTTTGTCCTTCATCAGTGTAGAGAGAGGCTGGGGTCACAGGTCTGTTTTGGACCAACCTTGGCAGTTCCTGTTTGTGTGGCCAGCCCTGACAAACCACCCTGTGACCTGAGCATCTGCAGCCTCGGCACCACATGGGATGCTTAGAAATGTAGCTTTTCAGGCCCCACCCCAGACCTCCTGAATCAGAAGCTGCATTTCCAGCCTCAGCTGTGATTAGAATGGGAAGAATCCAATTTACAAGACCAGTGTTCTAATCACTGCACTATGGAGTTAACTGAGAACCCCATTTATTATCATGTTATATGTACATAGAAGGAAGTATCCAATTCTCCTGGAAATGTTCCTTAAATATAATTAGAAGAATGTGTCCCCTGTCTTCCATCAGGGCTGCCCACTAGGAATTTCTTCTATTCTGTTACAAAGAGAAGTTGCTGTGCCCTGCTGACCTGAAACAAAAGAAATGAGCAGAACTCTAGTTATCTCTTCACCTCTAAAGATAAAAAATTGAGAATGGTCTACAAAATGGCATCAAGATGAAAACCATAACTTCCTATGGCATAAATGAAATAAAGTATATAAAAGCATTTTTTTAAATTATAGGCTCTTAAATGCAAAGCATTACTTATTGATTTTTCTTTTTATATCTCTTGGAATAGTTCCTTCAGTACTTTTTGCTACTATGAAATTTACTCAAAATTTATATGATGTGGTGTCATTTCCAGTTTTTCAAGAGTTCTCATTTTTTTTTCTTTGGGGGGGGGGAGAAAACTGTTACTCTTAATCTTAAATTAAATTATTTAATCTTAAATTATTTGTAACAGAAGTTTCTCTCTGACTATATATGTTTACTTTGTCCTGGATGAAACTTAAAATCTGAATACTATAAATGTCATAAAAGCAGTCTTTTAAAATTGTCAGAAAGAGAATAAGTATCAATATATATTGGAGCAAATTTATTTTTATTAGTTGTCCCTTGTTAAATATACCAATTTTTAGCAACTGGTGTAACATGTTTAAAGAATTTGGAAAGGCGCTAGTATGAAATGTGAGAAAATGGAGTTCTCCAAATACGGGACCATAGATTTCTGGGCCATGAATCCAGGGAATAGCTCTGCTGATGTCGGAGGTCACAGGAAATCTGGCATATCCACATTAATATTCCATTTATTACAGGAGATTAAACAGCTTGGTACTTCCAAAAGTCAATGTCTCAGTTTTTGGTGTTTTGTTTTTTATTGGTGGGTTGTTGTTTTTCAGTGTAATAGAAACAGCAAGTGAATGGGCCAGTTTGAATTCTTCTGCTTTCTCCCAGTGTGCCCATCACATGGTTAACGCTTATTCCGCATTTTCTCTTTCTATAAGTCTGGTTGTACCTTTTACTGTTTAATTTTCCCCCCTTTAGATTAGTGCAGCATGACTGTTTACAGTTAATTCAGTACCACTGCATTCCAAAGTAGCTAAACAGTTAGTATTGCCATCGGAAGAAAAACCTGAAGCATTTTAACTGCCTGCAGAGTGTTTGCCTCTGAAGCCGTAATTGTGGAAAGTCGTGTGCAGCTTTCCACCTTGTAATCAAGAAAAGGCATCAAGTGAATGTCAGAGATAACCCACACACTGTTCTTCAGTAGCCACAGACTATTTTAAAGCACTCAATGTTTCACAGCCTTTTTTTTCTTCCCCTACAGACAAGAATAAAGTGATTTTGCTACACTCATTGGTTTTCCCTGAAAGTATAGACCTTTTTAAAATCCGAACAGTCCCTTCTAATCTTAGAAACTTAGAATTGGAAGGGATGGCATCCCAGAGTCAAAAGGACCCAATAGTAATCACTCTCCCTGCATCTGTCCACAACATCCACAAGCAGGGAGGGCCATTTTGCTCTCATGAACTTGCTCAGGGACTGGAAGCAGAGTCCCCTTCTCAGGATGCAACCTGATCCATTTATACCCTGTGCTCAGTGTTATACAAAGTTCTTCCTCACACAGATCGCAGGCATGCTACCTTGGCTTCCCTGTTGGTGATCTGCTCTCTGCAGAGTGACAGATCATGGGATGTCTGAGTGGTTAGATGCTAAGGGAATGAGCTTGGCCTCATAACCAGAGACTCAAATCCTGGCTCTTCTATTCATTGATTGTATTTGCTTGGAGGAAGATACATTTAACCCAGAATAAACATTTACTGACATACTCTAATCTCGTATTAAAAAGGGAAATCAAAATTCAGGAAATACTAAAGGCAAAAATCCTTAAGCTGAAGGAGGCTATGAACATATCTATAGCTATAAAAAGCCCAGAGACCGAACGGCGGAATGACCAGAAGGACCTGTGGATCAGTCGCTATGATGCACACTGACCAGCAGGGCGCAGACGCTCAACGCAGGAGCTGCCCCCTGGTGGTCAGCGTGCTCCCACAGTAGCAGTGTCTCTCAGCTGACCGGGATGAGCTGGGCTCCCACAGCAGGCCAATCCCTGCAGGCCACGCCCCCACCAGTGCACGAATCCTTGCACCAGGCCTCTAGTTGTTTATAATAAGTGTTACACACTGTAATAAGGCCTTGCTATGCTTCTCTTTGTCTACAGAATGGAGATAATGGAGTATTAATTATGATTGAGTGGGGGCGGTGAGTGATCGAATGGTGTTCCGAACACATGGAAGTGCCTTTAAATTGTGCTCATTGTTTTTATTTCAAGTCTTACATGTGTGCTGAAATTAGCCATTTCAAAATGTGTTCACTCACTTGTTTCCCCCAATTTTTACACATTTTTCTACCCCTGCTTCCTCAGAGAGCAGGGAGGATGTCCTATATTTCTACACAATCTCTTCCTAGAGTTGTAAGTGCAGTGTTAGTTTTTCTAAGGGTTAAATCACAGTCCTATTAACAATATGTGCATGATGTTTTCAAAGAGTGATTCCAGGAGCCTCATCATTTCTGTTATAATATGATATAATGAAAGATAATCAGTGTGTCCCAAAATGGTCCAGTTAGAGTCAAACCCCAAAATTCTCTGGGGTTTGGAACTTGTTTTTTTTCATTGACTTTAGTCCAGTCATCAATGTCCAGCCTCTCAAACAAACAAAAAAAATGTGGGAGCCTTATTATGATACTAGAAGCCTGTTGCACGAAGATTCGCGCAATAGGCCTTCCTTCCCCTGGCTGCCAGCACCGGTTTTCCTCCGGCCCCTCGGGACCCTGGCCTTTGGTCCAGCTGCAGCAGAGAAGCCAAGCCTCGAGGATAGGCTTCTCCCCTCCGGCTGCAGCAAAACTTGGCTTCCCTGCTCCAGCCTCAGCGGAGAAGCCAATCCTCTTCAGTCTTCAGTCTTCAGTCTTCACTCCGACCGGAGTTTTCAGTCTTCGCTCCTCGCCTGTGTATGCAAATTAACCACCATCTTTGTTGGGTTAATTTGCATACTCATCTGATTGGCTTGTGGGTGTAGCGGAGTGACACCAATTTGCATGTTTCTCTTTTATTAGTGTAGATTACTTGCATGACCTCATTCAGTTTAAGGATTTGTGTCTCTAGCGTTATCATGACTGAATTTAGATATTTTTTAATGCAAGATTAGAATGTTTTAGTACATTTTATTCTGAATTAAATATCTTATTTTGTAGTTGCTCAGACATAAATGTACTGTGACTTTTGTTGGTATGGGTCTGGGTTTTTCCGCTTTTGCTTCTCTCCCTGACCCCTGATTGCATTCTTTTATGGGGAAGTTATAAGAGGATTTCTGGCACGCCAGCACTTGCTTCAGAAAAGAAGCATCAGACAGCAAGAGGTCACATCCATCAACAGCTTCCTGCAGATTACAGAGGACATGGGGCTGAAGACCTATGATGCCCTGGTCATTCAGAATGCTTCAGACATTGCCCGTGAGAATGACCGGCTCAGGAATGAAATGAATGCTACTTACCACAAAGAGAAGTTGGAGGCCAGAGGCAAGCAAGAGGAAGGAACCAAAAGGTAAAGGCAGACAGTGTGCAACTTTAATTATCTATGTAATTGATTCAGTGGCATCAAGAAAGTTCCGATAGCCCTTAATGCAAAGTTCAATCAAATATGACAGTAATTACGGGAACTGGCAAGTATGTGCCCATCCTTTATTTGAAACCTCGTAAAAACCAAGAGGATGCTTTTCCTCTGCATCCTCTTAATGAAGTAAATGCTACATGTGTGAGTTTAGTCCAATGAAATAATCATTGCTTCACTTACAATGCTTGCATCAATCACTTCCCTTTCAAGCACAAAGTTTTAAGGCATCTGATATGTCTGTCTTACCTGGCTTCTCCACATCTTTATACAAGTGCCATCTATACCAGAGTCTCACTCTGAGAAACTTCTGGAAATCTAATAAAAAAAAAATGGAGAAGCCACTCTCAAAACAGAAGTAGTGAAACCAATAAATGGTTGTACAGATATTTTCCTTAGTGAACTGTCTCATTTTCTTTGCCAATAAGGAACACTTTGGGGAGAGACTCTTATTTTAAAGTTCACTTTGGAGGCGGAAATAGACAAGTGGAGACCACCTGATCCTTCTCCTCTTTATCACTCGTGCCTCTCCGTAAAACATGAGGACTCCTGTGGTTCATAGTCCCCTCCCCGGGAGGGCAGGCACATGGGTCCCTCGGATCCTAATTCACTGTGTCAAGGAGATGCTTGTTTGTTCCACAGGAACTTGGTAATATCTAGTTCTTTTTCTCACTAAGAACTGACTCCCCTTTGCCTTGAATGCCTATGTCAAATGATTTTTTTATTGAAGTGGAAATGGTAATATGCCTCTCACTAAGTAGCTTAAAATATCTCAGTGATTAAAAACTGGAAAAAAAAATCCCTTTGTATGGAAAACTGTAATTAAACATTACAAGGAAAACAAATTATCCACTGAGCGCCCTGCTTTTATCTTCAGCTAGTTCGTTTTCTACACGGGCGTCGGGCTCTGCCTTGCGGTGGATCCCAGCCCTGTTGGTGTGCTGCCATGCAAAGATATAATTATTAAAACAAATGCTCAGAGACCCCTTGTAAAATGGATGCATTGGCATCTTGGTGCTACATGATTATATTGACATATGAAGCCAGAAGGAATTTTTTTTAAAACCAGATAACTATTAATTTTATGTGACTTCCAGAATAATGTCTGTTATTTTCTCTGCTGGAGCTAAACAGCCACCCCAATTTCTCAATTTGATTATGTGTTCATTTGCCTGATGTAAAATTAAGTGAAGAAGTATTTGTCTATTTTTTTTGGATACCCACAGTTTACTTGGCATTGGACAACCAGAAGGAGTGACAGAAGAAAAATAATAATTCAGCATATAATTAAATAATTGCCAATGAGGTTTAAATTGTTAGGAGAAAAGAGAGAGAGAGAGAAAAAAAAAAGTAAAACTTTGATAGTTTTAAGTATATGTTGTTTTGCAAGGGGAAGTGGTGATGAACTCCCAGCATCTGATGCATCAGCAACTCTCTATTAAGATGGGTTCTCCAGAAATGATCATCCAGATTGAAATTCTGGTTTTCTGATTTGCTTAATAATCAGAGTGTGAAAAACTCATTCAGTGAATGCCTGGTGGAAAATGTAAGCACTCCTTAACAAGTGTTGCATTTGTGTGAGTTTATTTTGTTTTGTTTTTTGCTTTCGTGTCTTCAGTGATAATGATGAATCTCCAAGGTGCTCGTTTATCAGAAAGCAGGGGCTGGAAGGATGGGGCAGCTTTCTCTGGATGTGTGGGTCACCAGAGTGCTGCCCAGGCATCCTTCAGCCTCGCGGGGAGGGCTGTTCACCAGAAAGCCTTGGTTAAGTCTGGCTGAGCAGGTTCATTGTCACCCTCTGAACATAGTGCATCCGGGCCTCTCTGGGTGCTGTCTGTGTTTTGTTCCCCTCAAGAACTGAAGACAGGAGTGGACCCAGGCATTTCCACTGCAGCTCCGTCCCAGTCCCCATGGCTGCGGACAGCCTGGTGCAGTCCCTGGCTGGCTCCTCCACCCGGTCTCCTTCTCTGCACTCGGTGTTCAGCCTGGATGACAGCAGTGGCCTCCCGTCACCACGGAAACAGCCTCCGCCCAAGCCAAAGAGGGACCCTGCCACGCGGCTGAGCGCCTCCTATGAGGCTGTGAGCGCCTGCCTGTGGGCCGCAGCCAAGGAATCATCGACTGAAGGTTAGCCACAGGGAAGGAGGAAACCGGCTCCTTGGGTTATTGATGCACTGACTTCCGGTTTTTGAGAGCCCCATGGCAGTATTGCTACCCTAATATATTTTTAATAGGAATAAATCCAATTGTTCGCTTGCCAGCGGCTCTTTAATCATTAAATATAAATAGTCTGTATTCAAATCTCTAAGCCTCTTAGGAAAAAGCTACTTATGTATCATTTCCTTAACTCCCGTTCCCACTTCCACATGAATGAGGAGCTGAGCCTCAAATCAGAGCAATTCAGAACATTGGTCGCCAGTCCATGTGCATTTTTACTAATTTTAGCCTAAACAAAAATGTATCAGGATTCCCTATTATCACAATCCCACTAAAACTTGAGCTTGCTTTATTATGCAGTAAGTGAAACAGTTCACACAGATGAGAGTCACGATATGGCAGGATTCAGTTAGTGAAACTTTTGGAACTAAATAATAAAAGTCTCTGCATTTGTGTTCTAGAATTATTTATGCAAAATGGGAAAAGTCACACTTTACTCACAGTCAGGTATCTTGTAGATGAGTTCATGAGACTTATTGCTTAATTATTAAGTTTTAAGAGAAAGCACTTCTTTGCAGAATATTTGTTAATTTCACAGATTTTATCTATCACCTACTAAAAGTTAGGTCCTATTCTAGGCGAGGTGGATACACCATCAATGAAACAATCAAAACCACTTTTCCTGGTGGATTTTTCATTCTAGGAGGGGAAGACAAATGGTAAACATAATAAACTAGCAAAATCCATTGAGTATCTTAGAAGATGTTGCTGCAGAGAAAAATAAATATGGTAAGAGGTGGTAGTGTGTCGGGGGTAGTCAGAATTCTAAATAAAATGGCTGTGCAGGTTTCATTAGAAAAATATTATCTGAACATAAGATGGAACACAGTTCTTTCCATAAATAAATGAACCAAAAAAAGCGCAGGGAAACCATAAGCTCATCTTATGGAAAAAGAAGGCTGACTCCAGGAGCCGTGCAAAATCCATGGGCCAGGAGCCTGGAGCAATGAGTACACCCTCGTTATCTTTCTTCCAAGATGCCTTGTGCCAGTCACTTTAAGAAAGAATAGATTTTTAGAAGAATTTTTAGTTTAAAAAATGTTGCTGTCATAATGTATGAGTCATGATGCAATAATGCTTAGATGGAGGTGGAGGCGAAATTTATAACTTTGGGGAGAAGAATCCAAGTATGTATCTTTAGTGTCATGGCAATAAGGACAACAGGAAGTGAACATGACCTTAGGGAAATCCCCTAGAAGAGAGTGTTCAAGCTGGTATAGAGGTGTACACAGGACCTCCCTGAAAACATGCACACAATACTCCCAATGCACACAAGCTAGAGGAGGCTCCCCCTCTAAAAAAATCAGGAAGCCACTCCCTGAGAAAGTAGACGAGCTCACATTTCCACGATTATTACTTTGAGGCCTCTGTATTTATGGTACAGATTTCAAAAAGGTGTGATTGAAATATGAAGAAAGTTTTTTTGGCATATTGAAATAGGAAGAACAGTATTTAACAGTCTAAGACTAACGAGATGGAGATGTAAAGACTCAAAATAGCATCAGAAATAGAAAAAAAAGACACAATACCAAACAAGGTTGAAAGTTACAGTGTCTATAATATAAAGCCCCCTTCAAACTTGAATGCTTCAAACAAGCTCTATAAATTTGAATAAGCAGGTCTCAGAAAAGCTGGTAAAGTCTAAAAATGCTTTCTCTTTGTGTGCATATTAGGAGACCGATTGCCCTGAAGGTGAGATTTTAGAGTAACCAAGTGCCAAGTAGTCACATCGTTGTGAAAGGAGACAATAATATATATATATATAAAATAAAACCGAGGTCTCTCATATGAGCAGCAAAAAATGTCAATTAAGAAAAATTATTCAAAAATCATGGGATAAAAATATATATAAAATAAAGTGACAGAAAAAAGATGAATGAAGAAAATGCACGAAAGTCTACAATTGCAAAATTCTGAAACTCCTTACTACTGTAGGGAATCACAAGTCTCTCAAGATTTGCAGTATAAAATACATGATGTGATTCCTTAGACTCACAAGATTTTTATGTAAAATTTAATTAGAAATTAATTTCAGCTCACATATGAGTAAGGTGCGTGTAAGTGTCTCCACCATAGATCACACCACAGTAAATTCACATACTGGAGGTGTGTAGAAGGGCCACTCCATAAATAAGTTCCTTTTTTCCTATCTATGATACTTACTCATTTTCACAATTTATGATTCCTAGTCCTGATGACTTTACCATCATCACCATATCTCCTATGGGTGCAGATGAATTCCCACATTTTAGAATATGTTCTAAATATATATTGAAGAATAAAAAAATTAACCTGCACCCAGCCAGGGTGCTTAGTGATTGACCTTCTGTCTATGAAGCAGGAGATCATGGTTTGGTTCTGGTCAGGGCACATGCCCTGGTTGTGGGCTCAATCCCCAGTGTGGGGCGTGCAGGAGGTAGCTGATCAATGATTCTCTCTCATCATTGATGTTTCTATCTCTCTCTCCCTCTCCCTTCCTCTCTGAAATCAATAAAAAATGTTTTTTTAAAAAAAATTAACCTGCATGTTGGAATCAAGCTGGTGTGCTAGTTAGTTTTGTAGCATTAGGAGTCAAGGGCCATTAGAGGGGCTTCATCACTCAGGCCATGGACTTCTAATCCATAATCACAACGGTGGTGACACTCTTAGTAAAAAACCCACCATCAGCAGTGGTTCTGGTCCCGTTTATGCCATTGTGACAGGAGCTCAAGGTGTCCTATATAGTCGCCACTAATAACTGTGGCTCTTTACATTTAAAGTAATGAAAATTAATACAATTTAAACTTCAGTTATTCAGTCATTAGTCACAGTCTAAGTACTCAACAGCCACTGGTATGGAATTTCCCATCATCACACAAAGTTCTCAGAGAGCACTGATTCTAAGAGTTGCATGTCTTTACCACAGGGGCAGTACAGTCAGGCCTCACTTAATGTTGCCCATAGTTCTGTGATGTTAAGCAAATGGAGGTATAATGAAACCAATTTTACAATAGGCTAATTGATATAAACAAGAATTAGGTTTCTGTGGCATCTCATCAACTATCAAAACCACGCTGTATGGAATGGCATTCTTTGAGTACCTGCTGTACTGAGTTTTTTTGCACCTAGTAAGATGTCACAAATGTATCCTTCTGCAAAAGTTAAGAAGAAAATCTGATCACTACTTAAAATACTCTATGAACCCTGGTTTCATAAGAACAGGGACCACAACTGAGATCAGTTTATTATCTGAGCCATTCCTGAGGGCTCATTAAAAATTAGTTTAAGTTCTTTTCTTTTACAAATAAAGCTGCTAATCCATTCAGAAGGTTATAGAATGAATGGAGATCTGATTGGAGAATGAAGAGGAAGAATCTTAGAGAAACCAATAATTAGTCACATTAAAGTCTTAATCTTTGTGACCAGTCTTGATCTTATTAACACATGCCTTTCCTATAGGATTTTATGCAATAACAAGTGGCCATAAAGAGGGGCAGGCGAGAGGGCTCATTTTTTTTTTTTACTACCTTTGTACCTGAGAATCTTGAAACAATTTTATGGGCCAGTAAATTTTAATGCTTGTTTGCAAACTATTAACAAGCTAGAGCCAACTATTTGAAAGTACTGTTTTTTAAACGTCTGGGGTTGGTGTTTGCAAACAGTGACTAAGAAAAGGAGACTAGGGTCCTGGCTTCACTTTCTCTTTGCTAGGGGGCTCCCAGTTCCATTACTTTCTAGAGGGAAGAGTTGATTCTCTAAATCCAGAGTCCAGGCTTTCTCCCAAACACAGTGATGACTAGATGATGAAATGGCAAAAGAAAGGATTTTCTTGGGCAACGGTAGCCTCCATCGTTTTACTTTCTGTGGTATGACCTCCACAGCCACCCTCCCTGCAGACTCCAGCAGCCCATTCCTTATGAATTACGCATTGAGGAATCATTTTTTTTTCATTGCCATACAACTCCATTCTCAACAAAATGCAGTTTATAATGTATAGATATAAGAGTGGTTCAGCTGTGGGGCTTAATTTGGAAATAATGTTCTGTTTCTTTTCTTTCTGACTGTCTTATTTATATCTTTATTCTAGACAGCACTTGCCACATGGTAGGCACTCAATAAATACTTACTGAATGAAAACATGAATGTTATAGAAATATATTTCTTTGTGCTGCTTTCATTAAAGCAGAATTAGCTTTCTATCAATAAATTGAAATGAGCACAATTTGGCAAGGTTCACAATGTCCCCTGGAGATTTGTCAGATTTGGTTTGTCAACATATTTTTTAGCAGAAGCCCCTTTATACTGTTTTTTTTTTTTTTTTTTACTATTACCCGAAATTTGACAGAAATTAGGTTTTCTGTGAACACTGTCCCGGGAATTGTATTACTGGACATAACAGGAGAACATGACTGCATGTTTTACAATTGATGGTGCACTTTCACATTCAACACATATTAACTAAGTGTATTTCATGAGTTTGGCTCTTCCCTGAAGAGGCCAGTGGGGATGATAAATGGGTAAACAAATTATGAGATAAGCAGAGTAATAGCAAAAAGAACAGGATGGTATGGGACAGAGCAAATGGTTCTAATGCTGGCTGGGAAATGAGGAAGGACCTGGAAGGACATTTAAGTGGCATTATGCCTGTAGAATGCTGTCCAATGGGTAAAGATGGGATGAGAACAAGGGCTCCTCACACACACACACACACACACACACACACACACACACACACACAAAGTGTTATAACAAGGTTGGAATATATCAACTCAGTAGGAGCCCTTTTTGTCCGGTGGGTAGCTGGTTGTAACTTGATATCACTTTCACTCATGTATGCAGTGGGCCACCAGGCATTTATTTAGGCATCCTTGATGTCCTGTCCTAGGCACTAAGTTTGCTCTGAAACTAGGCAAAATCACACTAGAAGAATT